AAGCAAAACTTTCAAACTTCCAGCTTCAGCACCGTGTATCTTAACAAATCAAATCCAGAATAAATGAACATTTTTCCTGTTAATTAACATCCTGGAACGAGGATCCGCACAACGACTGAAGGCCAAAAATGTTTTCTGGTTCGTGCTTGAATGTTTTTAGTTTCTCTTTTTAAATCCAGGAAAAAATGAGTGATTCTGGACTCTGACTGTGACAGAAGTGACAAGCTGTAAGAGACAGAGGCGAAGGAAGAAATGAGTGTGTTGGCCCCCGTGACACCTTTATTACGTTTAGCCTCTCCGTGGGCCTTCTGGATATGAGGTGTTTAAGATTAATCATGAGTCAACTGGGCTGCTGGCCCGTAAACTGGTTCTAATCACGATTAGCCAAATGCTAACATTTCCTTCTCATTAAAGAAGTTTTTTTTTTAAATCAAACAAAAAAGGAGCAGAACAATCTTTAATTTATCCCACTGTCATATTATACCATCGTCTGTTAGCTTTGTGGCTGCTGCTGCTTGTTTCCTCTTTTCCAAACACTTATTGGATTTCCATTAAGTTCCACTGAACCAGTCGGTCCAGATGACAACATGAAGTCATCTCCAGTGATAGTGATGTGCTCTCTTGCTGTTCAGAAGCTCATTCAAATATCTGGTTGCACTTTCACCGACACAGAAAGACCCGAAGCTCTTTAACAGCAGCTGACAGACAAAACACCATCACACACGAACGAAGCACCAATCAGGCCGCTGGCTGCACCCAGAGCAGGACCTCATGTGTGAAAGCGTCCGACCTCTGGCCTCACTGCTGCCGTCAGCAAGGAAATGACATCAGTCCAAAAAGTAAAAACAGAATTGCTGCGCTTGGTTTCTCTACAAATTCACACCTTGATGTTAAAAAGTGTGTAGAGCCATCCCGATTCTTTGAACACTAACTTCCACTTGCATCTCATGGTGCAGTTCTATGGGTTTCCTGTAAGAATGAAACTCAGACCACACACGTCTCAAATCTAACCGACTACTTCCTCCATCATGCCAGCTGAAACCGTAGCGACACGCACGGTGGCAGAATGACAAATAAAAACTATGAGTGCGCGATGTGTCGTCGCCAGCTTCCAGCTCCAGAGTGTATAAATGGTGAAGACAAGCCAGCAGGCGCCGTTTTCACTTCGTTATTGTTTTCTTTATGAATGCATACATGTGTGTTTTTAAATGGACTCCTGTCTGAGTCCCTCTTCACTGTCTGTACCCTAAAAGTGAACTGAAGAACTGCACTCACTCCATGACTGACTAAATCATCCGACTCTTTAGCTGCTCGATGATCAGCTATGTTCACCAGCTGGCTGTGTCTGGGGGTTGTCTGGTGCTGTTTGGAGGTCGTGTACCACTGACTGCAGCCAGAAACGCTGTGACTGAACCAAACAGTGAAGTTTGGG